TTAAGGGCGGAAGGTTTAAACCTTATACTGGTTACTGCACAACTGTATTAAGGAACTTTTTTCAACAATTCTTAATTTAGCTACAACTTTTTTTATAACAAATGGTAAGACTGTCCAATTTAACTTTGCATCCTCTTGAACAACTATTTATTTTGGTGCAATATCGAGGATAACCACAAATAAATTAATTGTCTGGATGAAACTAATTATCTTAACAGATTTTATGTTTTTTGAATACCAACAGGCTGAATGAGCTTCCGTTAAAGAAAGCTAACGAGCCTATTTTTAAAATGTAAGGAATAGAAAGTAGAGATAATTGCTAAAAATGTAAGTACAAGTAAAAATTTGTCTAAGCAATAATTACTCCTGTAAAGAATGGATAGCCAAAAGTTCTACTTACGGTAATTAAGGTAATGAAGTACTTTGTTACTTGACACCTCTGTTCCCAACACACCTGAATCAAGTTACTGAATCACTTTCTGCTCTGTAGAGACCAATTAAAGAGTCAATTATGTGACTCAGCTGTGTTAAAAAAAAAAAAAAAAACACATTCAAAGAAAGTATCTGGAAGTCTGGTGGTTTGTCATTCGAAAACAAATATGTTTGCACAAAAGCTTGGACTTGTACTGCAGGTCTTAACAATACAGTATTAAAAATACAACCTAAAGAAAAGAGGGAAAAAAATAAAATTCTTTTTTGTTTTTGCTCTTTTGAATCACAAAAACACTTAAAATGAAAAATTAACTCTGAGCTCTGGCTGCTTTATATACAACCTTATCGGTTATCAAATGGAGCCTTTTAACAGAGGATGTGTCTCATCTCCATTCCCTGTGTTCCTATTTTCTAAATTGCAGCAGCTCTAATCTTCTGTTCCCTCTTCAACATGGAGGGTTGCGACCCTCTGGTGGTTCATAGAGGTACTACAAAATTCACTTTGTTTTAGCAAAGAATTAACTAAAAAAAAAGGTGTATCTCACCTTTACATAGGTACCAAAAATTACCATTAAGACATGACAACAGACTAAATGAAAGTTAGTTAGTTGAATATTAACTTGAGGAAATAATTTCTAAAGTCTTCCGCACTTAACAGTTTAAATCTTAGTTGTGAGCAAATGTAACGTTAACAACTTTGTCACCATCTCTCTAATGACTGCTAAAAGCTTTAACTTACTCTAACTTGGCTAAATGATTTTTTTGCTTACAGCTGATGAGATTATGATATTTCTAATTAAAGTATTATAGCATTTTAGTAAGAAAATATTTTAAATCAAGGTTTTCCAGGCCAAGGACTGATGGAGAGATGGAGCGGGGACTCCCTAATTATATATGTGATATAAAATTGTGTTCTATCAAACTGGTCCTATAGTCACTCTATTAAATACGGAGTAATGTAAGGAAAGTAATTTCACCCTGGGATTATTAAAGTATTTCTGATTCTGATTCCTTGTTGATGGGACAGGTGTTGTGAATGAAACGGTGCCCAGCTTAAAAGAGCTCCTGTGTGTCGCTGAATGTGTGCATTGATGACTGAAAGACATCTGCTTCCATTTATCTGTTTACTGCAGTGTGTTGAACTCATGTTAATGTGTATTTAAAGACATTTCAATTAGTGGAAAAAATTGCAGGGGGGAATATAAAAAGAAGTCTAATAAACCAAAACTCCCATTCAGTACCTTCGTGGACCCCCTAGGGGTCGCGGACCTCCTGTTGAAGACCTCAGTTTTAAAGTGTGCTGAATAAATAGGTTAGTTTAATACATACGTAAATTGCAAAATTTCAAAAGGTACTTTAATCTGACAGGGTCTCCTTGGAAGATATATTTAACTTTTTCTGAGATTTATTGATCAGCAAAGTAATGCAAAATCAAATGAAGTCTCTGGCAGGAGTTTATTTTTTGAATGTGCCTGCTGGAAATGGAGCTCAGCATCACTATCACACTGTTTTTATTTAACATTTGTTAACAATTATCTCACATTTGGATTAGAGAACATTCAAGATGTCAATGAAAGCCTTTGTAATTCACTTCGATGTTCACTTTCATGACAGCTAAATTCCCACCAGCATGATCCTCTTCCTACACAGTAAAATTTTGCAGAGTTAAAAAGTTGAATTTAACACCAATCTGAATGCATTGGTCCCACTCTAAATCAATGTTAAATTATCTCTCTACATAGTGTATATCTTACTCCAGTTGCTGTAATAACTCTAAAAGAGTCAATGTACTTTAACACTGCATTATGTACAGTATGAACCATGACGAGTGAGAAATGCTCCCTGACAAGAATATATAAAGATCTCTAAGAATCTATATTTTTTAATCATTTGAATTGTGACTTTCCTTTAGCAGACATATTTTAACAACTGATGCCTAACTTTAATTGAAGCTGTTCATCCTGTGCACATATATGGTGAGCTGGCACCATAGAAAACAGTCTGAGTTGAACTGAAAGCTGGTTCCATACAGTAGTTTATATATATGCTGTTTTACCTTTGCAAAAAAGTTAGAAAGTGGCCCATTTCCCATTGTCACCCTTTAAAATATGGAAGATAAAAGGACTTGCCATCAAAATAAGGAAAATATATGCTGGTCGTTTACTTAAATAATGGCAAGAAGAAAATAGCTGCTTGCACACAACTTTATGGTCAACACAGTTGTTAAAACATTAAGATCAACAGATGGTGATGTACAAAAAGTTGGATGAAGATCAGAGCTATTATTTTCCACATAGTTCTTTGAGGAGAAAGCAAATAATCTCTGAAGCTCATTGTTTCCCTGAATAAAAACATGTAAAAACTATAAAAATAATTTTATCTAAAAACAGATATTCTAAACAGAATTTCATTTTGTTTTATAATTTTGTGAGTGTGGAAAAACAGGCCCACAGCATTACAGATCCTTTGCCATACGTTACAGTGTGATTACGGTCCTTTGCTACATATTTTCCTACATTTTCAGCTTGTATTAAAGTTCTGGACATGCTTTCTGAAAAATAAAACCAAAAAAAAAAACAAGCGATCATTTCTTTTTTAAGATGAGTAGAATAATTGTTTTCAAGTGCTTTAATTTTTTCTCATGTTTCCAGTAATAACATATACAATAAGTGGCACAGAGGAACACAAATCTGGTCAGTGATACTTGGCCCTCAACTTTTATGCTGGCCCTGAGAACTTATTTTTCATTAATCTGTGCATGTAATGACAAAACATGTATTTTTTTATGTGGCTGCTTCAGGCCACTTATGAGAATGATCAATATTTATAGATGTCTTTTAATTGTTGTAATTTCATCTACATATAAAGATCAAACTAAACTGTTTTAATATTGACACATATTTTATTTAATGTAAATATCATGCTAAACATCTACTAGCATTTAACTGATGTTAAACCTGTGATAACTATGGTGTTTTCCTGTTGCCTGGTCTGGTTGGTAAAGGTAAATTCTCAGCTCTGGGAGATTTCTGGCTCTGTTGTTTGGCCGTTTTGTTATTTACAGACACATAATAGGCTCAATAAAGGCTCGATTAATCCTGTTTTTTTTCTTCAAAGTTAAAAACGAATCAACAAAATAATGAAAAAAGAAACTTGCAATCATGTTCCGTTTCAGACAGCACCCAGCTGAGCAGCATCATTAATGATGTGATTCCCCTCCGACATTGAAGAAGAATAACTATGTAGTTGTACCCAGCAGATAGTTGTCTCATTTTACTCAACAGGTTAATAATCTATCGTTAATTTAAACTATTCAGGTAAAAATTGTTTCTAAAAAAAAAAAACTGGGTGAAGGTATCGGACGCCTTCTCCCTCTCTCCTCTTTCTTCTTCCTTTCTCTGCCTTTTTGAAACCCAGACTTTGGGACGCTGCATTTTTCAGCCACAGATGTTTTTAACCACACTGCTGCTTATTTACACATTTTCTTGTTAATTAGTTTATTTCGTTGTCGCTACGTCAAATGACGTGCACGTGGAATTTAAGCCCCAGTACGAGCAAACTCCCGATGACAGACGGCGAGACCTTAATCACCGTATGATGATGATGGGGGGGTTGGGTTAAATATAGTCATGCTTTGTTTCACTGTTTACTGATAAAAAAAATCATGGAAAATATGAAGATTATTTATTTTTCTGCTGGGTTTTCTCTTTATATTTGAAGAATATAGCAGGACAAATCTTTTCTTCTCCTTTTGCCCCCTCCACCTCAGTCAAGGGCCCTTAGAATCGTCCTAACATTTCCCCCCCATATGGCGTAGATTGACCGTGAGGTTCTGGTGCCTATCCACTTTCAACCCCCCCTCAGTGTACATCGGTTACTGCCTGGCCACCCTTATAAAAAATTTCTAGCTACGCCTCTGGTTATAAGGGCCTGGGCTAGTGTCCTCTGCACAATGACGTAGTGATGCTTTCAAGTGTCAACAAAAAAATATATCATTATCGCTAGAAGCATTCACTGTAATTCTATGCATCCATTTTTTAATGTTCAATCAAAATAAATAAATAAAATAAAAAAATAATAAAAAAAAACCAACTCATAAAGTTGAGTTTCCTTATCTTTAATAAATGTTGACAACACTAACAAACATAATTTTAACCTGACAACAGCCAGATGCATGTCTGGCTCCACTAGGCGGAGCGAGACATGCATCTGGCTGTTGTCAGGTTAACATAATGTACCAGCGGCTATAAAACACCTAGGTGTGTTTTAAGGTTTCCGAGCAGCACTTGAGCGCACCTGTAGCTGAGCTCGCGCTGCTGCAGCCTAATAAACAAAATGAGTCCGAACGAAGCGCGAGCCGCTGCTTTAAAGTTTCCCCTCAGAGAACCTGCTGCCCGCAGAGCTCAGCAGCACCTGTGCTAACTGGGTGAGTCTGATCCAACAATGTATGTCCACGACACTGAAAACTGCTTGTATTTTGTTTGCAAAAGTTGCGTTTTAAATGTTAGGATCCTCTTCAGCACATTATAGGAATTTACTAATTACCTTCCTTTGTTTTAACACCCAGGAGCTTCCAGATCACTTAAATGGAGCTAGAGGACCAATGGTGGAAGGGACAAGTTGCTGCAGATATTTACCAGGCGCTCAGATATAAAGTAAGGGCTACTGGGCCACAGGTTGAGCTACAATTTAAACAAATATATATATATATATATAAATACATGTATTTGAATCGATTATTAAAATATATATATGAAATATATATATAGAAAAATATCTGCTGTGCTGCTGCCATCTACACCTTTGTTTATAGATTTTGGAGATCGGCCTGTTTTCCAGTGTAGTCCTGTTTCTCTGACTGTTAATGGGGACTCCTTTTACAGTTGCTTTTTGTATCTCTGCTTCTGTCTCCTTGAACCCTTGTCGGTCTCGGCAGATGGCCGCTCACACTGAGCCTGGTTCTGCTGGAGGTTTCTTCCTGTTAAAAGGAAGTTTTTCTTCTCCACTGTCGCTACAAGCATGCTTAGTGTTAGGGATTGCATTTGAGTCAATGAGTCGATGCAATCAACTTAGATAGAAAACTTTGAATCAATTTGACTGTATGATCTGGTGAACTGTAAAGTGCCTTGAGATGATATGACGTGAATTGGTGCTATATAAATAAACTGAATTAAATTGAATTGAATTATGCTTATAATATTTTTATTGTCCCTGCTGATCTTCTACCAAACGGACGAGACATATGACCACATACCTTTTTTCTACCCTGACCCGTTGAAGCATCTACACCCAGAAACATGCAGCGGTATCTGTCATCAAGATCTTAGCAGTAGATTCTTAAAGTTATGGTGCATTATTCTACTGAAAGTGCAAACAGGTAGTAATGTTTCCTTTCAATTATGTAGATGATCTCGAGTAATGTTTATGATGGTGATATTTGTCCAAGTAGCATCAATATGGACGGCAAGATTACAGACTGTACAGCTCTTTAGTTAAACAATTTATTTTTTATGTACTTTATATCTATCTGTGGTCATAATGTTATGTCAAATTCAATTCAGTTTATTGCTATAGCGCCAATTCACAACACATTTCATCTTAAGGCATTTTACAGTTCACCAGATCATACAGTCAAACTGATTCAAAGTTTGCTATCTAAAGAAAACCAGTTGATTGCATCGACTCATTGACTCGAAGGCAATCCCTCACACTAAGCATGTTTGTAGCGACAGTGGAGAGGAAAAATTCTCTTTGAACAGGAAGAAACCTCCAGCAGAACCAGACAGTTGGTTCCACAGGAGAGGACCCTGATAACTAAAAGATCTGCCTCAAATCAGTTTTCTCATTGCATAATCCAAGCCTGCCCTGTTGAATCTTTCAGATTATAAAAGTAGTGAAAATGGATTGATTATGGATTTGCTTCTTCACAGGAGCTCAAACTGCCTTCCTACAAAGGCCAGTCCCCTCAGCTGAACCTCAGAAGATACTTTGCAGACCTGATCGCCATCATCAGCAACCGCTTCCAGCTTTGCCCCACAGCCAGACACCTGGCCGTCTACCTACTGGACCTCTTCATGGACCGCTACGATGTCACGGTGCAGCAGCTTCATATGGTTTCCCTTTCCTGTCTCGTTCTGGCATGTATGTGACCTCTCAGTCGCTTCATTTGAGTAGTTTGATACTAGCTTAATTGGACTAATGGGGGCAATTTTCTCCTGATTCCTACAGGTAAGTTTGAGGAAAGGGAGGACCGTGTGCCAAAGCTGGAAACCTTAAACGGCCTGGGATGCATGAGCTCCATGAACCTAGTCCTGACCAGGCAGGGTTTACTCCACATGGAGCTGCTTCTGCTGGAAACGTTCAACTGGAATTTGTACCTTCCCACAGCAGCTCATTTCATCGACTACTATTTGTCTATTGCTGTCTTGGCTGGAGATCTGCATGATGGCTGGCCAATGGCCAGTCTGGAGAAGACTAAGCTGTATATGAACAAGTATGCCGACTACTTCCTAGAAGTCTCCTTGCAAGGTATGTTGAAAAATAATGCACAACTGTTGATGGCTAAATGTTAACTTTTTTTTTCTAAAGATGTTTGTTAATTGGACTAACGGATCAGCGTTGAATGTTTAAGGTATTGTGGACGATCTTTGCAAATATTTGAAAAGACACGCCCTCTCCATTTAAAAAATTTAAATAAAAAAGCACATGCACAACCCTGTACCCCTGTACGCCTATTAAAAGTGTGCGAGAGCGTGCACAAGCCCATTTCTCCTGGTGCAAACTCTGTTTAGAAGTTGCTGTTTGCATTAGAGGCCTGCGCGGGACAGATTTCCCAGTCCCGTGCCAGCCCGCTCCCGCAGTTTTAAGTCCCGCTCCTGCAAAGAATTATGATTTTCAGTCCCGCTCCCGCCCGCACCTGTGATAGCTTCACCGGGTTGTGCATGACGCGCATTAGGTGGCACGAGCTGCTGCTTCACAGCAATACCCAACTTACCTGCCAAAATCTACTGAGGATATTAAGAATAATATATTAGGCCTAATCTTATATGCCACTCATCATCAGGTGCACGTATGAAATAAAAATATGATAAGTTATAATTAATCATTTTAAACACTGTATAATGGAGCCCCACCCAGCACATTGTGATGTGTATATATATGATAGACAGACTGATAATTTATGACTTTATTTTACATTTTAAAACATGTTTTTAGTTTGCGGGACTGCTGCTTATTACTGCTCCCCCCCACCCCCGCCCGCACCCACATTGACCTTTCAATATTTGTCCCGCGCCACACTGCTTTGCATTGAGTCCAGGGCTCTAGTTTGAATTGCTCACACAAGCTTACTTTCCAAAAGAAGATTTGCAATTTTTCCACTATGTCAGACTCGCCACCAGTAAATGAAAATGGGGATTAGCGCATACGACGGCTTTACGTAAAGGCATCACCAGAATGATTGACAATTAGGAGGACCACTTATTTTGATGATCCACCCGGAAAAAGAAGCTCCTTCACTGTACCTTTAAGTTGCATAAAAAAACAAGAGTTGTTCTTTGGAAAATACACCATTAAAGTGAGAAAAATTATATTGATGGATAGCAGAAGCCACAAAAGGATTAAAACTAAAATGTAAAATATATGTAGAAGTGTAAATTGCAGTTTCTTAACAGCACTTCAGTATTTTAACGGCTAGAGGCAGAACAATCTGTTGGCTTCAATCTAATGTTTTAGGTTCCCTAATGACAGTTATTTTAATGTTCCTTCTTCAAACCTTGTTTTTTCTGAGGTTCCACATTTAAAACTCAGACTTTGTAGAAATATCTTCTATGAATTTATCGTGAACTTCGGTATTTATGCTTTAAAAACCTTAATTAACTCTTGAAATTAGAGCTTGAACAAAAATATTGACGCAATCAAAATAAAATGAAACCTGGGGTGTGATTCTGCTTAAATAAATTACTAAATAAGCTATGATGCTTTTCTGATTTTTTTTTTTTTTTTGGTTTTCCATAGATCACTTCTTTTTGTGTTTCACCCCCTCGCTGGTGGCTGCTGCCTGCCTGTCCGCATCGCGCCTCATCCTCCACCTCTCCCCAAGCTGGCCGCCCCGACTGCAGCGCCTCACGGGCTACGCATGGGAGAACCTCATGCCATGTGTAGAAAAACTACTTATGTGCGTACCTATGGTTCCCGGCAAAAAGTATTTGTTTCACTTTAACTTCAATGGTTTTGTTAAATTTTGAGCTCCACCTGAGCTGGTACTTTTTAGTCAGTTTCTGCTTCAGTTAAAGCTTTAGGCCACCTAGCATTGATCCTCTGTGGTTTTGCACACACATACTGAGGTTTTTTTCCCGTTCTTCTTCTTCTGAAAAATGAAAAAAGCTCTGTCACATTAGACAGTGTCTAAATCATCACTTTTTAAGTCTTATCAAAGATTCCTAAATTAATTAGTGATTTGAACTCTTATCTGGCCATTCTAAGCCTGGTCTGAGGGACATTTTGACCCTTAGAAGGATTTTGTGCGGCCCCCTGACCCCATGGCAACAGCATATGGTCCACCAGCACAGTGGGTTTAATCTAAAATAAATAAAAAAACTTTAGGGGGATATTTTATCAATAAGAAAAAAGTACAGGACTCAGTTTTTATGTTTTACTTGGTAAAATCAGACTTCTTTGATTATTAAGATATTGTAAGTGTTGTTAATTGTCTAGCAGGAGAATCCAATGTTGAGTTTGTTTTTTTTATTTTGTTGACACTTGTATTTTTGATAATTTTTTTTGTAAAAAATTGACCGTGATTGGTTCAAACCCTTCGATTACAGACCCAGTTTAAGGAAGCTATCTTCCCCTTAACTCTAAACTGCCTCTCTGCCCTTCATCCCCCCACAGCATGGTGCAGCCATCACCATGTTCCAAGGTGAAAACATGTTTATGGGTTGCTGCCTGCCACACATTTTACCCTTAACGTTATCTCTTTTGACCAGAGCCCTTTTTCCAAATGTTAGCTGAGTCGTCTACATGGTTTGTACCAAACCAAACTTCTATTCACTGTGTTTAAACATGTTGTTGCTCTTTCATAAATGCTAGATTTTTGAAATGTGCAACTTATAGTTGTCTTATGATGGATTCTCGTCAACTAATTTAGTAATCGATTTATCTTTAACTGGGGTATGGAGACTTTAAAACATGCCTTTAGCTGACAGAGTGACCCACTTAGAATAGTAATTATACCCAGATTTAAAAAATAAATAAATAAAGACAGACAGACAGATAGATAGGCATAATATAAGCATTTTGCATGTAAGATATAAAAAAAAAATTTCTTTTTAAATAATTTTGGTCCGTCAATATGCTCTATCCAGAAATCCTCAATTGGAAAAGTTTTAGTTTCACCTTTAATTTGCTTTATTTATTTTAACTTGGTTAATTGAAAACATAGCACACAGATTAATCGATTAGCACACTGGAAAAAACAGAAATCTGTGTAGTCATTTTTTTCTTAAAATTTCTGAAAACTCTTTGACAATGGAACGATTTACATTTAAAATAGGAAAAAAACATTTGCATTGTCTTATTTCAAGTGTATTCTATGCAACTATCTAAAAATACTAATTCCAATGGCAGATTATCTTATTTACCTGCTGGAATTAAGGGAAAATTCTCTTGATTTAAGAAATGTGGACTCATTGCTAGATTTTTTTTTTTTCTAGTAAAAATAAAAGAGGGGTAGCCTAATGTGAATTCAGTTTTCATGGTATATTTTGTGCATCTTATAAAATGCCAACAAATAACATTGAAGTTTGAGAGGTATGCACGCTTCTGCAAGATGAGATGACAGCATCTCAAAGTAGCACCATAGGAATCATTTTTTACTGAGAGAACAGATCACACGGTTCACATAAATGAGAATTAAAGGTGAATCTTTAAAGGCACAAACTCTGAAACTCATCGACGTTTCATTTTCCCTCTTCAGTGCCCATGACAGCGATTTAAAAGAGGCCAACAAGCAGAAGTGCCAACAGCAGCAGCAGCAGGGCCAAACAGCGTTCCACAGCTCTGGCCAGCAGGCCCCTGTGACACAGTACCTTCAACTCCCCTCCATGCAGTACCCTCAGAAGGCTCCACAGGCCGGCCTGGCTGCGAACCACAGGTCTGGGTCCTACCTCAGCCACTCCACTAGCAGCTTGCAGGGTCCCAATGGACCCCAGCATAGCGCCACACAAGCCGCTGCCACTTCCACAGAGTCCAAGCCTAGCATTCCCAGCAGGTCTTACCCAGTGAGCATGCACTACAGCTACACTGCGCCATGCTATGACGCCTGATCGCCACATTTTCAAATTGCTAGAGAACTAGATGTAACGGTTAGATTTGCTTGAACGTGCAACGTCTTGTTTTTAATTTCTAGAGACTAGATCAGATTTGTGCAGCACCTTAAGTCGTTCGGGTGCTCCACAGTGTGCAGCATGTCAACTCTGCTTTGGTTTGCAGAGCACAGCTTGCATGAGGATGTTTCTTTTCTTAATGTTTGAGATAAAAAGAGTGAATGTTGTTTGCGAGGTGCTTTCCATGCACCGTTTTGCACCCATTACTGCTGCAGACCAGAAAGACTTGTGTTCATTTTATGCCAAAGTATACCTGAAGTAGTAATTACCCAGTGCTGCAAGTTGAGATAGCAGTAAAAATTTATTTATGTCAAGTTTGTGATTTAGTTAAACGTTTGTGTTGTTTTTGTTTTATATTTTTTCTAGTTGCTGTTTTGTTTTGTTTTTTTTTGTTTGTTTTTTTTTTCATTTCTATTTGTTTGGACAAATAACAAGACTGTAGATGTGCAGCATGTGACTATGACTCCGCCTCCATCCGGTACACAGGGTTTCGGGCGTTGCTGTCCACTTCTACAGTTGTTTTAAATAAAATACCAACCTGTGTTAACGATGATCAGTTCAGGGGATTTGTTTGGGTAAAAAGGATAGTTGAGTTAGAACGTGAAATCCTGTTGAGTTCACTGCATAAAAATCGTTAAATGTGGATGACTGCAACCTTGAGTCTGTGCTTTTCTTTAAGTTATCTGTGTGAGAGTCACCTTTACACACACTTAGCAAAAAGTTAACACTTTTATGTGTCATATGTATCACCCACATTAGATTACAATGCTTTTGGTTTTGCTTCTTCCTGCCCATGGTGGAACAGCATTTGTTGTACTATGAACAGGGGCGGATCTAGAAAAATATTTATGGGGTGGCGAGAGGGGGGCAGAAATTTTTTAGGGGTGGCAACATATGGCATTTGTTTACACTGAATTTAATCACAGTTATCTTTCAGTAATCTGAAAAGAAGCAACATAAAAATACATTTTGCTTCCAGTCTTAAAAAGTACAAAACATTTTGTGAATAGGTTCATACATGTCATTTCTGGATAGTTTCATACTATATATACAAAAAAAGAAACAACACTGCTTCATATCAAGCAGGATTTACACCAGTTTCACATTTTTAACTTTACTTTTAACACTTTTGGTTTTATTAAAGGAAATATCAGATGATCTCAGGTGCCAAAATAAAATGTAACAGCTCTGTAAAGGCTCACCAGAGAGCATAACATAAAGTTAACATGACTATAACAGCTGAATGTGGTGATTTCCATGTTACTCAGCAAAACGCTTCACAAATTTATTTAGATCTAATGCCTTTTTGTGTTTTGATTCAATGCTGAGTACAGCTAAACTTGATAGTCTCTTTTCTGTCATAGTTGACCGCAAATATGTCTTTATGAGCCTGAGGCACCTAACTAACATCATAGTTAGAGAAATAACGTTCTGCAAAATGGTTTTTATCATCTCAAAATCAGCATTGCAGCTATGCTAGCAACATTGTGCTTTCATTATTTCATTTCTCGATAGATACTTAATCAGTTTTTACCTGTTTCATCCCGTGTCTCCTCTCCCCATGACCCCTGGCTCCCTCGCTGTGCCCCATTCGGTTTTCAAAACAAATCAGTCTCAGTTGCTCTCGCGTCATCTCGTGCTGCATTCACTGCAGTCCGACATTGGAAATTAGCGTTCGTAATTCTCAAATGATCCATAATTTATAAGCCTCGCCACCCCTACCGCCAACTGGGGTGGCATGGCTGTCATTTAGGGTGGCATTTGCCACCCCAGTAGATCCGCCTATGACTATGAATAATGACACCTTCCTACCAGTATCTTAAATTCTTAAAGGTTCTGCTTTTGTTTTGTGGTTTATTTGCACATTTAGTACCAAAAACACAGTTCTGTCTCCTTCCTGAATGCTATGACTGCTTGAAATGTCCAAAGGGTTTCTAATTGCATTTGTTGAACAGATGAAAGTAAAAATTCTAGCTTACAAAGCTGTGATATAATCTCGACAAAACTACTTAAAGGTGATATAAATTTAATGTGTGTCAACGGATTATGGAACCTGTCATTAAACAAATAATTTGTTCTAATCACAGGTTAAGTAGGACTCATTTGAAAATGAGCCATGTTATGCTGTAACAGAACATCGATATTTGTAATATTTATCAGTGAGAGGATAGGCTTTGTGATGGGTTCCTCTATAGGTAACCTGAAAACCTCACAAAAAGGGAAAACCTTTAAAATAACCAGTTTTAACTTACATCCTCATTTTACATGAACAAAGCGCTCTTTGTTCTGCTGTAATATAGACACATGGTGGCAACATCAGGATTTGGGGAGGCTGTAAACTCAACACTGGAATAAAACCTTAGAGGCTGCAAATATTTGGTACCGGGGGTCACCCTACAGTGGGATGGTTCATATTAAATAATATTCATGATTTGAATGGCCCAGTCAAAGTAAAGACTTGAATCTAACTGATAATCTGTAGAACAACATATTGGCAACAGGTTCTATTAATCAGTCTGACCCACATGGAGCCATTTTCTAAATGGGAAAATATCAGTCTCTATTTGCTTTTCTTTCAGCTTTATGTTGAAAGCTGGTAAAGACAACCTTTAATGAATTTGAATCACAGAAAAAGGAGACTGACAGGGTTTCTGCGGGTCATTAAAAATCATTAAAGTCATTAAATTGTTTTTCAAATTAAGGCCCTAATTGGCATTAAAATTCAATTAATGTGTTTATTGTGGCATTTAAAATGCTTTCTTAAAAAAAAAAAATAATTTATGAAAACAATTTCGTCAGACATATATCACGATATATTTGGGTGGAACTGCTCCCGGTTGATCGCAGAGAGGTATGCTCCGAAAAGAAGCTTGAGTCTGAGAAAAAACTAGAGAATGGGGAAGAATGCCAATTTCAACAAAAGTGGATCGACGGGTAGCTGTTAGAGGCATTAAAATTATTTCTAAGAGCATTAAAAAGCATTAAAATAGAGTTATT